CGCCGCCTCCAAGGAAGTCCACAACTCCTTCGCCGAGGTCTCCAACGCCTCTACCGCCTCCAAAGTCTGCACTACCTCCAAGGCGGTCTCCAACGCCTCCCCTGCCTCCAAGGAAGCCAGCCCCTAAGAGGTCCGCCCCGCAAACTAAGCCGTAGCCCTGCCTGCCGGCAAAGAAGCAGAAAGCAAATACTCATCCAGTTATTCCCCATAAACTATCTTATGAGAAAAGTGAACAGGAATTAAAGGAATTAAAGAAGTGACAGATTTCTTTGAAGGTGCAAAATAGGCACGACGAGCGAGGGAGAACCTGGAGCCATCATACTTCTTCCTACCTCCAGATCAGCTAAGAAAGAAGTTGGAACAAAAAAATGGGATTCTCTTAAGAGCGCCGCGAAACAACCGATATCGGACTATGACCTCTCTCTCACCAAGTCATATGAGGCAGCGCAAAAAAAGAAGAGAGTAGGGAAAGGTGTTGCACAACTCGGACAACAATCGCAACAATCAATCCCCCCCTTGTCGTTCCTAACGAATATGGTTCAAACTTAAACTTAGTGGAGGAGGTAGACGGCTATGAGTCGTTTCTTCGGTTTTATGAGGACACTGGTTTGAACCTTGCCGAAGTGCTCGCTGAAGGACCATATGCTCTGGAAGTGGATCCTTACAAGAAATTTGTACCAGGCCAGAGTCTATACAACCCAGAGAAATTAGGTGAACTGGGTACGCAAATGTACCTGCTAGACGGGTGGTACATGTCGGCGTCTGATGCGGGACAAATCTTTCTTTCTGTCAGAATTAGAAACCACCATTACTTCCGTGGCAATGACATTATCTATGTTGAGCTTCCAGAATTACACCAACTATGCCACCTGGACTCTCTCGACAAAAGTCTCATTAGCTGCTATTGTCTGTAAGTGTGATTATTTTCTACTATATTCATAATTTCTTTATTATATATTCACAATATATATATTCACAATTTTCATGTATGCAGATATGAGATGACAGAACTTAGAAAGAGAAAGGATAATGATGTTGGGTTCGTTGATCCGTATGTCGTATACAAACACCCTAACCCCTTGAAGGATTATAAGCCTCAACCTGAGAGAAATCTCATGAATTTCTTAGTGAACCAACGTGACAAGAAGGAGATACTCTTCCCCTACAACTTCAAGTGAGTGTTATTATAAGTAATTAATGTCGATCATATATATGGGACATCAATATTTCCTTACTAGCTAGTTACCTCTCTCTCTCTCACACACACACACACACACACACACACACACATATATATATATATATATATATATATATATATATATATATATATATATATATATATATATATATATTTATGCAGCAATTACTGGATATTGATGGTCATCGATATGGCCAATAGTAGATTGAAAATCTTAGACTCGTTGAGAAAACCGCAAACGGAGTATCAAGACATGATAGATATTATACAAGGGTAATTAATTTAGTTTCTCTATAACAACATATATATATATATATGGCGCCGATCTCTCAACAATTATTAAAGGTTAAATTATTTTTTTATTTTATTAGGAGCAGGGTTTGGAGAAGGTTCATTGAGGAACAAAAAATGAAACATTGCAAAAGCCACTGGGTGTAATCGCACACAAAGTAAGTACTATAACTACACATTTATATTCAATTAACACCATATGATGATTTCAATTCACCCTAATTGATTTTTTTGTCGTAAAAGTGGGTTCTAAGGCAGGAGCAGGGTAACAACTACTGCGGATACTATGTTTGCGAGTTCATCATGGCGTACTCAAAGAGAACTCCTAAAGAGCAACTCAAAGTACGTATATAAATACTTTTTCCTTTATATTATTTCGATCGTATATTTACAATTTCTTTATTGCTCTCATTTGTATAAGTAATTACATGAGCAATACACATACATATATATATATATATTAATACTTTTTCCTTTAACTTTTATTGAAGACTGAATGGTTGAGGGAAAGAGTCATATGACTTGACCGACTTAAAGCAATTCGAGAGACTATAGCAGAATTTCTAAATGACCAGGTCATCAACCCCAACGGCGAGTTCTACAATGACCCGAACGAAACGTGGATGCCAAATCTGGAGGAGTGAATTGCTAAGGACATAAATAATTTATATATGAAACCTTTGTAATATATATATATATATATATGTATGTATGCACATATTATATGTACATAAAATAGCGTGTCTATATATATGATCATCATATATATATGCATGTACGTGTATATTCGTTTGTTATTTATGTACAAAGTTCGAACGAAAACTTACGCATGCGAAGTACACATATATATTACTATTAGCAGCATATTTGAAAATGTATTTTAATAACAAAACTAATCATTAAATGAAAAAAGAAACCAAAAATAGAAACGAGAAAAAGGAAAAAAAAGAGGGACATTTAGTCCCGGTTGGTAATACCAACCGGGACTAAAGGTCCTGCCCCGTGGCGGTCCCTGGCCAGGCCTGGAGGCCCCCTTTACTTTCAGTTGGTGTTTCCAACCGGGACTAAAGGTCCCCCTTTAGTCCCGGGCGTCAAGCCGGGACTAAAGGAGGGTACCTTTAGTTCCGGATTGGTGCTCCTGGTTGGGAAACCGGGACTAAAGGGGTTTCCCAACCAGGAGCAAAAAGCCTTGCTGCACCAGTGAATCATGCATAGCAAACAAAAACTATAGATTAGAATAGTACACCAACAGCATAGAATTAAGATGAAAAGTTTGGAAAACAAATCTATGTCTCACTATGAACACAAAGACGTGAAGATCACAAAAATCGGAGCTAAAACAAAGAAATTATGAATTAAACAAGTTTTCCTTTCGTAAAATAATAGATTAAATCTAACCTCGAATTTTAAAAGTTGAAAACATGTCTCACAGTAGTATGAACATGTAGATTACTTAATTATGAACCTAACGCAACTTGAACGGATTAAATTGGAGTTAAAACGGAGATTTTATGGTAAAAACAAATCGAGTGGCAAAACTGCAAATAACTGAAAACGTATTTTCAATCTAACCGAACCAAATACGCTTTCAAAAGAAGAAAATAGAATCTGAAAAGGCGCTATGGACCGCGGGTTAAGACTCAAGTACTTATAAGAGCTCTTTTACAAAATTCCAAAATGAAGGGGTATCCTTCATCCTAGACCACCGGATTAGAATTGGATGGCCTTGCTAGAAGCGGAGGGGAGAGAGAGGGCCTAACTGACCGGAACAGGACCGGCGGCGGGTTGACCGTGGCGGCGCCATGGATGGCTCACCGGAGCTCTCGGTTTAGGGCCTACGGTGCACGGTTCAATGAACGAAAAAGTCCGGGTGAGAGAGGAGAGGGTGGGGAACTCACCCGAACCGAAAGAAGCGAGTGGGAAACGATGTAGGCTGTGCGGCGCTCGATGAATCAGCGTCGGCTTTCCCAAGCTTGCGGCGGCGCTGATGTAGGGCAAGGGCGGCTGCGGCTTCTTTCCAAAATGAGACGAGGAGAGCGGCGGGCGCTTCTCCGGTATTTAAGAGGTGCGGGATGTCTTGGGAGACACGGCACAGGGCGTAGCAGAGTCGGACACGGCGGCGTCGGCGCAGTGTCCGAGCCGGCCACGAGCGAGAGGAAGGAGAGGCACCTTACGGCTGGGCTCGGCGCGTCAGCGGAATGGAGGAAAGGGACGCGGCGCAGCGTAGACTTGGGCCGGGCGCGCGCTGATGGGCCTTGCGGAGCGGGAGCGGAAGGGAGTGAGGCGGGCTGGCGCGGGAGCTGCCGCGAGCGAGGCAGGCCGACATGCTGGGCTTCGGCCCGAGCAGGGAGGAGAGGGGAGAAGGCCGGCGCTGGAAGCAGGCCGAAGGGATGGGCCGGTGGGAGGAGCGGCCATGGGCAGAAGCAGGCCAACCAGGGCCGAAAGGAAGGGGAGAAAGGGGAATTCGTTTTCTATTTTCCAATTTTTCCAAAACAATTTCAAAATCAATTTTGAATGCAAATTCAATTCAACTTGGAATCTGATTTCAAATCAAGCAATACAAAAAGATATGCAGCAGCATGGATGCACACACATGATTGTGAACCTACATTTGATTTTAATTTAATAAAATTATTATTTTCCTAAATTCAAATGCCCACAAAAATGCATAACAAATCAATTTCCACTATTTTAAAATATTGCAAATTTTAGAGCATTACAAATGACTGACGGTGTGACGCCTATTATATAAACTTAAAACGACACACTCTCTGAGGATATATATTCATAGCGACCAACTACCTAATGCTAGGCATATGAAAAATTAACTATATATTTTCATTTGTTTATAAGTTAACCATACATTCAGTCTTAACCATGTCAAACCAATACACACTCATGAAACATGTATAAACTTGAACAAAGCTCACAATTTATATTAGACCATCATTATTTTGTCATATGCCATCTTAGACACACAATTCATGGCAAACAAGCCAATATGAAATTAGTTCAACTAATAGGCTAGACTCAAGATGTTTGGGCACAGCCATATCTCATATGGTTTGTTTGCACTCTTTACAAAATGATCATCTCTAGGAAGTCCTTACAAAAGCTTTCATCTCTAGCTAGGATGACCAAAGCAAATCGGCAAGAGCAATTTGATCCAACCGTTGGTTGCATACATCAGTCTACTTATAGCTCTTACCTCCCACCTGAAAAATAAAAGTTCACATTCGTCAAAAACACAACCTAAAACACAGCCAGCTTGATAACAAGGTTGCAAGCAGTAGAAAAACAAAAACTACTATCAACAAATATGTATGTGCCATCTATCAAGAGTGACCTATCACTCTACCTTGAGATTGAGTAAATGTACAATTTAAATAATTGTGGAGCAGTAAACAATTAAGTGCAGAGTGGTTCAAAATAGAGTAAAAGAAGCAAACAGCTACTGTGAACATCAAGGTAAACAGAATGCTGATAAGGATGCGTATCACACAGTACACTAGTTTTTTTCACCATTGTGGGAGGCCCTTGTCATGAGGGGACGTGATTGGAGCCCGCCACCTGGTCTCTCCTCCAGCACATAAGGCATATGAGTCCCGAAGACCTTATCCCACGTCACAAAGAATGGCTGTGAAAAATTGAACCTGCTGCCGTGCAGCTGGTGGTGCACGTCATGGTATGCCGTGTTATTCCAGAAGCACAGGTGGAACACGTTCCCTGGCAGCCATAGACCGCAGTGGTCGTCCACACCCTTGATGGTGCAAAGTGAGAAGAAGAAGATGGATGCACGAGGTGACATGCCCGACACGACGAAGGCCAGCGCCCCACCGAGCGTGTCTAGAAGGAGGCCCTCAATGGGGTGGTTGTACTGTGAGCCGAATGCGTAGGGTACAACGAGGCGGTGGTGCCACGAGTGGATGTGCCGGTACAGGAACCTGTTGTGGTGCATGTACCTGTGCCACGCATACTGCCACCCATCTAGCACGACCATGGCCACTGCAAACTGCCGTGCCACCCTCTGGTACCGATATAATGATGAGCCTTGTGCTTCTTTATTATCGTATGCCACCGTTAAGCGGCTATCTCCCGTGAGCTGCATGTGTTGTATACAAAAACTTCAGATGTGCGACCTTCTTGCGGAACCATACATGTACTACCTATGCCCCAAAAAGAATGTAAATCACGTTTCCTGAGAAGTCAAAGAATCTCAAATTTAACCAAATTTATATAAAAAATAATAAATATCTATATTTTGAAATATATTTATTATAAAACCATATTCTATTCTTAGTCTTCCTAATGATACTTATTGTGCATCATAAATATTATATAATTTTTTACATATTTGGTCAAACTTGATATTGTTTAACTCCTCCAAAAATGAGATTTATACAATTTTTTTTTACGGAGGGAGTAAGAGGAAAGAGTGGTCTAACGTACGTACCATGAACGTGACGGCAGCTATGGCCGCCTGCAGTAGCTGCTGCAGGAGCACGCACGTAGCGACTTCCAGCTTGGACACAAGGTTCTTGCTGCCCTCCTCCTTACTCGAATGCAGCCTGTACATGTCCATGGACTTGCCAAGTGCCATGTACATGCCAGAGTACACCCAGTACACCAGGATGGGCACGAAAATGGCCAATGCTTCGTCAGAGAAGAACTCCATGGACGCGGTCGCGTATTCGTGCTCTGGTTGCTACAATTATCAGCTAGCTATACACAGCTTTTGCATCCACTGCATGGATGGTGGCAAGAACACACCAGACACTTGTTTAAATACATCTCGCTGGTACGCAGGAGGACGCACATAACGATTTCCCGCTTGGGGACCAGGTTCTTGCTGTCCTCGCCTCCTTCCTCGGATGCAGCCTGTACAGCTTGCATGTCTCCATGGACTGGACAAGTGCCATGTGAATGCCAGAGTACACCCAGTACACCAAGGCACCAAGCACGATGAAAATGGCCAATGCTTCGTCGGAGAACTCCACGGATGCGATCTATCGTTACGTACAACACAGCTTATCAGATGAGTATTAATTATCAGCGAGCTACACGGTTTTTACATCTACTGTATGGTCGCAACAAAAACCTGTTACGCAAGCAGTGGGCAGGTTATATGAGATATTCTGTTTAAAGATTTGTATTTAGTAGCTAATCAAATTTGATAAACAGCTGTTTGTGTACTGGGATGATGAGCTGGATAAGAAAGCGAAGTTATCACAGCTCAATGATGACGAGTTAAATCTAAAGAATACATTGAATGAAAGACTGGCCCATCTTCTAAGGGAGGAAGAAATAAAATGTACCAAAGGGAAAGCTGAAAGAATCTATTGGAAGGAGATGCAAATACTAAATATTTCCAATTAGTGGCTAATTGGGAAGCATAGGAAAACTCGTACTTTCCAACTGGAACAAGAGGATGGTACTATTAGTGGTGATGCTTGTCTAAAAAAGTTTATCACCAAATACTATAAGATTTTGTTTAGTTCTCCTAAACCCTCTTTTTCAACAATGGACAAGACTCGCATAGATGACATCCCTAAGTCAGAATGTTGAAAAATGAAATCCTTATGCAGAGCTTCGGTAAATGATGCCATTTTTCAAGTGAAACATAATTCGGCCCAGGGCGTGATGGATTCCCTCCAGAATATTATTAGGCTTTCTAGAAAATCATAAAAGGGAATTTGATGCCGCTACTCGAGGAATTCCATAAAGGTGACCTTCCACTTCAATGATTAAATTTTGGGACAATAATCTTACTACCTAAAAGTAGCGATGCTAAACAAATCCAACAATACAGACCGATCCATTTGTTGAATGTTAGTTTCAAAAGTTTCACCAAAGTGGCCACTAATATGATGGCTTTAGTAGCCCAAAAAGTTATTTGTCCTTCACAAACTGCTTTCCTCCCTGGGAGAAATATAATGAAAGGTGTTGTAGTTCTACATGAAACTTTACATGAGTTATATAGGAAAAAGATGAGCGGGGCTATTTTTAAGTTTGATTTCGAAAAAGGTCTATGACAAGGTCAATTGGACATTTCTACATCAGACCCTTCGAATGAAAGGTTTTTCCCAAAGATGGTGTACTTGGATCCAATATTTTGTAAAAGGTGGTAATGTGGGAATTAAGGTTAATGAATAAATGGACCCTTACATCCAAACACGAAAAGGCCTTCGGGAAGGTGATCCACTGTTCAAAATACTATTTAATATGGTGGTAGACATGTTGGCAATTATTATTGCCAGCCAAAGAGGATGGACAAATAAAAGGGGTAGTGCGCCATTTGGTTGATGGCAGGTGGTCTATCTTGCAGTATGCATATAACACCGTGCTATTTCTAGATCCTGATATTGAACAAGCAAAGAGCATGAAGTTAATTCTTTGCACTTTTGAACAATTATGAGGTCTTAAAATTAATTCGCACAAGAGTGAAATTTTTTGTTTTGGTGAGGCAAAAAATAGCGAAGCAGCTTATTCACATCTTTTTGGATACAAGTTAGGCACTTATTCGTTCTGATACCTTGGTCTCCCAATGATTTACCGAAAGCTAAATAACAAAGATTGGAACAAAGTAGAAGAACGAATACAAAAAAGACTCAGTAGTTGGAAAGGCAAGCATTTATCAATTGGAGGTAGACTGGTACTGATTAATTCAGTGTTGTCAAGCCTTTCGATGTTTATGCTTTCTTCTTTGAAATTCCTAGAGGTGTCTTGGAGAAGATAGAGCGCGCATTTGGTTGATAGCCAAACCTTGCCGTACCACGCCATAATTTTTGCTCCCGTTTGCTTCGTAGCAGCAGTTATGGCACGCCGCGGCCTCGCCATCGCTCGCTAGTTCAATTTTTCTGCCTAAACGTGCCAAGTTCGATGGCCAAATCGAGCGCCACATTTCTGGCGACGCCGCTGTTGCGGTGCGCCGGGGTGGGGTGCCAGTCAAATGCGCCCAGAGTATTACTGATCCAGATTTTTTTTGGCAAATGACAATCACAATAAAAACTATAGACTAGTTTGATGGCCTCTATTAAGCCAACCCAAAGAACAAGGGGGTTTAGGAATTATGAATCTGGATATACAAAATAAGTGTCTCTTGGACAAATGGCTTTTCAAATTAAGCAATGAACATGATATTTGGCAGGACTTATCGAGGAACAAATATATTAAGGATAATACTTTTTCACAGGTATAGAGAAAAGCAGAGACTCTCATTTGGATGAGTCTCATGAGTGTAAAAGAAACTTTATGAAGTTTGGGGACTTTCTGGTTAAAGGATGGTAACCAAATCAGGTTCTTGGAAGACACCATGTTAGGGAACCAACCACTAATAAAATCCCAATACACAACTTTGTTCAACATTGTTCGAGATACATATGTAAGTGTATAGTAGAAGTGTCTTATAATTTAGAATCAGGGGGAGTTTTATGTGTTCTCGAGAAATGTTGTGTACTGCTGTGAATGCAGGGAAAGATATCTAACTCGCTGCATGAATTATCATTTTAGTTCTTTATTTGTGCTGAGTCAGAAATTTGCAAAACGTTGAATTTGTGGTGCATATCTCTAGCTAGGTTAGGTTAAATACTATTAGAAATTGATTTCTATGATGACATTTGTACGGACTACACATGATATTGACAAGTGTTTTATTACTTCAAACAGGATGTCATGTACACTATTTTCAGTCAAACGCTGGTGCGCTTTTGCACTTTCCATCTTGCGTGACAGAGATATAACTACTCTTTTAATACACCAGGAATCCCTTGCCTCTAGGGGCGTCGGCCACTATTCGTCACAGTTTATTTTCTTAATTTTTTATTTTTATTTTTTTTGCTCTTTGTTTTGGTGCTTCTTTTCGCGGATTTTATCCCCTTCAACAATTGGCGCAGCGTAGCGCGCTCATCGTGCTAGTACATATAAAGGGACATAAAGCTACTAGCACCAAAAGGGAAAGAGGCGTCCACAGTCCACACACGGAGTGAAATGCATGAGAATTATTTAAGCTTGCGACGATAGGCACCTTAATTACGTCATCACTGGCGATTACACGAACATCCAAATGGGTTGGCCGGCAATGAATATTATTCATGGACCGGCTCTTTGCTTTTCTGGTCCAGGAGCAAAGACGACAAAATTTAGTAGAGCCCAGCTGGAGGAAGAACGAATGAGTCCAATTTGCAACGCTAGCTGAGCGTCAATTCGCCGTGCACTTCCATGGGGCCCAACCATGTCAATTTGCGAATCTGTCCGGCCTGTACCCACTCGTGTAAATCAGTAAACAAACTACACCGCTGTGACCCCCTCCTCCTTCTCTTTTGTTACTAACTTTGGTTAATATCAGAGTTTTGGACGCAAATATTGGTCACGTACCAGCTTGGCGGCTAGATCGTCAGGGTTCCCATGGACTGAAGAATGCAACTGATAACCAACACTCTTTCGTGGTGAAGAACGGCGAGGTTTGTGAGCAAACCACCAAACGATAAGCAACCATGCTTACGTAATGAAGAACAGCTGGTTTGAGGACAAACTAGCAAATGAACCATGCATTGAAGCTCTCGGCCGGGAAGGACCCCATCAGGGCAAGTACGTCGCCAGGTTGCCCTAGATCAGCCAGCAAGGCTAGGCCGCCATCCTTGGTCATCGCATCAAGCGATGAAGAGCATCAACATGAGGTCAGAAGAGATTAGGGCAAAAAGGGCAATAGATGTGAAAAGATCGATTTGATGTTGGATCCCTCGGTCGGTCATGTAGTACTTGTATTTATAGTATTTGGTTGCAGGACAAACCTTAGCGCAACTTGATGACTCTGTGCTATATAAGAGTGTTTTCTACGGGCGGCGGCTGAAGACAGTTCTTTGGAGCGGCTGACCCGCCAGACACCCTTAACCATTCATCACTCCAAATCATCGATTTTTTCAGAAATCACAAAATCGGACTAAAATTGGAAAAAAAAAATTAATCCGGCCGGGAAGCCCACCTCCAGGCCAGGCAGCCTGCTGGGCTTATTTTGGCAACCACACAGACCCATGGTTGTCGCAATCTCGCCGCAAGAGCATGCAGGCGGCCGGTGGGTGGGAGGCGCTTGTTCCACTGTTGTGATTGAAAGGAGCAGAGCAGCACATCACATGGGACGGAAAAGCGGGAGAACTGACTGAGTGCTCAGGGTCTTGTTGTTGCTTCCTGATTGGCCGGCCAGCCGTACGTTTCGGCTAGCTTATATTGCAGTCAGATCGAGTTCAGTGAGTAACGGACAGACGATGCTCCTCTCGATCATTTGGCCGGCTTGCAAATTAAAAATCTGATACATATAGATAGATCAGATGGACTCCCTGCACGTACAACAGAGTCAGAGAAAGAATCATGCATGCTCTTGATCATCGTCAGTCGCACAAGCTAGCAAAAGCATCATATGTTACGTCACACTTAGCCGCAGTGGCATCTCCTCTGTCCGGTTTAACTATTGTGTGAGTCTGATTTACCCATTCACCATGAACGGTTTCGAAAGCAATTTTTTATGACATGGCGCCATGTCAACCATTCAAAATGGAGCCACGGTAAACAATCGTTCTCTTCACCTCTAGTCATTATTGTACAAAACGACCATCTAAAAAAGGATAAACGGATGATTAAATTAAAACGGTGTACCACCATGTAGGGTTTAGGTGAACAGTG